CGAGGTATTGGTGGTGAAGCTGGATCTACTTGATGAACATAGGGACTTGGCACACGTGAGGATGGTAGCTCAGAAGCAAAGGATGGAAAGATACTATAATCGGAGAGGCAATCTTTGTTACTTCAAAGTCAGGGATTTGGTTTTGAGGGAAGTGACTCAAAACACTCGAAAAATCAATGGTGGGAAGTTGGGTCCGACGTGCGAAAGTCCCTACTGAGTTTTGGCTGTCACCGGTAAAGGATCGTACTAGCTAGAAAATTAAGATGGAGTGAAATTTCCAAGCAATTGGATCGTGACTCACCTCAAAAGGTATTACTGCTGATGGATGCTATCGATACTGAAAGTATGTGCTGCACTCGTTTTCCTTCGGCTAATTCTTGTCCCAATCTGGTTTTTCTGACAAGGTTTTTTATGAGGCGGCAACGGAAAAATACTACGAGAGAAGTGCCATCGGCAAGACTAACACCTTCAAATGACAAGCATTGAAGTAACAAACAACTGTGGGATGGTTAAATAATCTTTGGCTCAATGGCAAATTCCTAATGGGAAGCTAAACTTGCCATCAAACCGAAGACTATTCAACCGCCTAATGAAGCAAGACTTTCAGTATTCCAATTCGCATACTTCGCATTCAAATACTGGGGGAAGTAATATAAGATACGACAACAATATTTCCATGAAAATCGGGGACTACAAGAACCGGGAACAATAATATTTCATCGGGACCGGGAAATACATGGTCAATCTCAAAGAAATAAGTTGTACAAGTTAGCCACATATATTGGAATTTTCTTTTTTTAGCAAACGAATGCTTGTGTACTTTTGAAGATAGAAGGAATAAAATAAAGTCCCTTTTTTAAATCTTGTTTCATGTCCAAACTATGAGTTGATTTTATCATTTGAAAAATAACAAAAAATTTAAATGCTTGTGCCGGAATGAACAGGAGACGTCCTCTTCAAGAGCACCGTAAACATAAGAGGGTCGTCTCTTATGAAACTCTCATAGTAAATGGTTGATTCCGGAAGATTTTATGCCCGGAACAAAAAGTTATTAGACGAAAATACACACAAAGCCTTATCTAATTCGACGCAAAAAGAATAAACTTTGCGCAATACTTAAGAAAAAGTCTTCTTCATTTATCAAAATGCCAAACGGCATAAGTACAAAAATGCAAAAGAAAATAACAAAGGAAACAAATTCTAAACATTATCGCCGCCGGAACTCGGGGGGATAGAGGCATTTACGCCCCCTCCCCCGGGGAAAGTGGAAAGATCAGCCGCCAGTTCAGGTCCTGGGCCTTCATCCTCATTCTCTTCAGCTTCATCCTCGATTCCCGAACACTTGGAATCGGTGCTCGAAAGGTCAGCTACATCATGTTGAGCTGAGAGACATTCTCGAGCAGTTAACTTCAATGCTCGGTCCTTGGCGATGTCATCATCAATATCAACGATGCCTGCTTTGGCCTCCTCCAAGGTTTTTCTCCTCATATGATACATAGCGTACGTCTTTTCAAAAATGAGAGAATCCCCTTAGTGTTAGAGCTTTGCCTTAAGTTTGTCAACCTCGGCTTGAAGGTTATCCCTCTCGGACCTCGTGGCGACGAGGCTAGAATCGAGATCATGGATTTTAGAAAGATGAAGCCGATTTTGATCTATGATCTTCTTGATTCTCTCCTCCATCGTGGCCCTCTTCTCCTCGACGGCATTATCCTCCTCAACTTTGGAGCTCAAGGTTGCCTCCAAATTATTCACTTATTCAACGAAGGCAGACTCGCGCTCAGCCGCAGCAAGCACAACATCTTGAAGTTCAACCTACTTAGCCTTAGCATCTTGGAGATGTGCACGCGATTGAGGAGAATCTTGGTTGTGGCCCATCACTTCTTGCTCACTTTGCTGTAACCAGGCCTCAAGCTCACCCGCTTCAACGACTTTTGCCTCCAACACCGGGAGACGCGCAACAATTTAATTCCTTTTGGCCAAGAACTGATCCCCCTCAGATACAAGCACTTCTTTGTCAAGAATCAATCTCTGAAGGCCCTCAGAAGCAAGGAAGTTGGCCTGTAAAAAAGTATATCAAGTTTAGAAATCTCGTTATAACATATAAGTAGAGAACAAGAAATAAGAGAACAAGTACGATACCACTGCTGCATTATGCATTGCATTATTCAACAAACATTCCACTAAAAGAGAGTGTATCTTCTTCTTATCCTTCTCTGAAGCCAGCGACTTTAGATAGTTGGCAAGTTCCACCGGCCTGGACAATAGATGGCACCCCTTCGAAAATGAGAGAGTGACATTCCTCATCCCTCGATGATATGGAGAAGGGGGTGAATAGATATGCCCTAATTCCCGTGGTCAGGAGATTGGGGAGGAGAAATACCCTTCTCTCAGGCGTCCGTTGCCCGTGGAGGAGATGCAGTGGGTGCTGGTGGAAAAGATGCAGCTGGTGTCGAGGGGCGTAAAGTTGTAGGCGTTGAAGGTTGAGAAACAGTTACAACAGGAGCAACGCTGATTATTGGTTGCTCATCGATCGAAGGCAGAAGAGGCCCTGGGTCCGACCTCCCGAGACCAGAAATAGCAATAGGGGTTGGAAAGTGATAATCAACATCCTCCACTATATCAAACTCGCCCTAAAGTGCTTGTACCTCATCTGGGGTCGGGTTCTAAAGCTCTCCCGGTTGAGTTGATGAAGTTATTCTTTTTCTTTAGAGGGGAGCCACTTTATCACTGGCTTCTCCGTTTTCCACAACAACCACTGTGGTCGGCTCAGTTGTTGTAGTCTTTATTTTCTTATTTTTATCACCAGCCGAGAAAAAACGCTGCCTTTTTGGTTGCTTGTTCTCTGGCTGGGGACTCGGGGAGGAAGCATCTCCACCGGAGGCAGATCCGAGGGCACCACTTCGGGCGAGAGCACTTTGTAGCAATCTCGCGGCCTCCACATGATCAGCTAAAACATCCACTTCGGGGCAGGTAACAAAGCCCTGTAGGAGTCTTCAATCAAGAAAAAGATATGGTTAGCAAATTTACTTATGTTCGTATAGAGGCTGAAAGGAGAGGGGATCAGTTTACCGTGGTTCTTGGCTTTCCATCCATATTTGAGGCCCATCTTCTTCTACTGATGGGTATCTGGCATTGTAATATCCAGAATCTTCTGAACCCATTGGTCTAGGCCTTGGACCCTCATTGGTGTCCATCGAGCAACTGAAACAACGAAAACTAAGGCCAACAATGACGGGAAGTGATCTTTTTATGAAGGAAAGTGATGAATAAATTACAAACTTACGTGAACAATTCTATGATTCAGGGAAGGATGGTGTTGTGGCCGGGATGATATCTCTGGTAGCAATAATGACATACTGCTCCATCCACCTACGGTCATTGTCATCATCTACGCTGGTGAGAAGGGCATAGTGGCCACGTTTGCTGAAATTTATTACTCCCTCACGGAAAATCTTGGGGGAGTAGAGATTCATCATGTGCGCCAAAGTTAGGGTTTTCCCAGTCTCCGTGCACAATCGACATAGGCAAGCCACCTTCATCATATCGAAGGGCCTACTTATGCCAAGCAGGCCTGGTAACGATGGCAGAACTCCAAGATCACAGGGTCAAGCCCCCGCTCAAAGAAAACGGACCGAAGGTGAAGAGATATATATATAGACATATGTAAAGCCTTCCTTGGTGAAGGTAATTTGCTCTATCAGGTCAGGAGCAATGATGTTAAGGTCTGAGCAGTTGCAATCCTCCTTCACAACAGCAATATTGGAAGGGCGAATAGAGGAAGGATACATGCTTTCGACCCAAGTTCGTGAAGACGCGGAGGGGAAATTCTCTTGGAAGTCATTGACGGTGTTCAGATGTTTGGAGATGATGGTGCTTACCATGGGAGGATCAACATCAACATCAACCTCTTTGTCTTTATTTATCTTCGGGCCTCCACCGAAGAGAAGACCAGAGTTTTCAAAAGATTCAATAAAAGAAGCCATGATAGCAAAAAGACAATGGAAGTTTTTTGAAGAAAATCGGAAAGAGATGAAAGCAGAAGAAGGTTAAGTGCAAAGAAGATAATAAACTTTTGAAAGTTTTGGAAGTGAAAGAGGTAAAATGATGGGCATAAGTAAAGATATAGACGAGAAAAATCGTGGTCATGATTACCTCGAGAACCGGTAAAAATATTGCTAAATCGTAGGGCAACACCTGTTCGGGGTATTAAATGCGAGAAGGCGTGCGTCCTTTCAAGCATCAAAGACTGTTCAGAAGGTTTTCAAAAGATTTCCCGTCAAGAAAGGAATCTTCACCAACTTCGTGATGACACAATAATATGCCACCGGAAAGCAGGGAGACTATCTATATAGGGTAAAATTGGTTTATATTGAATGATCGAATAATAGCATGACACGTGGAACTGAAAACATGTAGAAAGTAAATCAAATAATAACCCATACCGGGAATAACAGATGTAGTTGGCATCGGATAAACCCCGAAGGAAGGACGATCAACGTGAGCAGATCGAATGTTTGCCATCAGATAATATTTAATGAAGAATATTTCTTGGTATTAAATAGACAGCCATTGCAAAGAATATTTACATTTATGCTCTGTCGTTACATATTCATCCATGGCCCTTTTACCACCAAATATGCAGCCAGATTTACCACCAAACGAATTGCTCACTGAAATCACAAAGCCTGGCTTTATTTTCTCTAGTTGATACTGAAAGTTTTTGAAAAAATTACTGTAATTGTCCTAAGAGGTTAATGAAAGAGTTGCCCACCTTCCAGTCAATTATTCGGTGGTCAAAATCATTTCTTGAATTAGTGAACAAACAATGCTGTAATACGGAATAACACACACTTGCTTTCCCCAATTTATGGAACACAAGTCTAATCAATGACTCTTCATTTTCCAAAATCCAAGGAAATCCACAAGCTTTCCCTTGCTTTAAGGTATATTACTCCAACGTAAAGGGTCAGAATAACCTATAAATACAATCTCATGTCCATTAACAAATCGTCCAAGGGTAATAAACCAACCGGCAAAATAATTAAGTGGGAAAAAGAAATGGAGGCGAAGAAGGTAGTAGCAGTGTTTGTAATGTGCATAGTTGTGTTGTCAGCTGTGCATGTTGACGTAGCTGAAGCCGATGAAGTTTTCAAGCGGTGCTTTGACAATTGTCAAAAGGAATGTGCTGATGAGGGCCATGGCTACACTTTTTGTGAGATGAAATGTGACGCCGACTGTGGTATGATGGAGCTCAAAGGTACAAATTAAACTCATTTCTATATTTTTTTTCCACTTGTTGACTTGAACAATATTCGAGCTGCTTTTGTTTTCTAATTATTTTTCGTGTTCTATTATACAGCCAAAATCGAGAATCTCAAGCATTGAACGAGGACCAATGATGCAGGGGTGAGGGGACCACCCCCTAGTAGGAGATATGGCACATATTTTCTCTAATTAGTTCATTAATTTCTTTCCCTACGACAGTTGTAATGCTCAAAATTGAATTAAAGTAAATTCATTAGTTTGTTTTTTATAAGATATATTGTATCCTTGAGTCCGTTGCACTTAAATTAATTTCCTATGAGCATATGTATAGACTCACTCCTCTGAAAATTTAATCAATTTCCATGGATGAAGAATGAAGAAAAATAAACAGGAAAATTTAAATAAAGAGAGACTTTTCATTCCCAAGGCTCCTGAAGCACAAATAATATATTATAATTTGAGATATAATATAGAAATTATTAAAGTTTATTCAAAAGGAAAGTGAAAAGGTAACTAGCAAGGATAATTGCAAGCACAAAAAGGACCCTCAAGGCCAATATTTTCAATGCATTGGGCACCAGCTTGGGGTCCAAATTTCTGCTTGCAAAATGGCAAACATTTTGGTTCAACTTTGCCTTGATCGCACAATATTTCTGTATGTATTTGATAGCAGGTCTTTGCCGCCTTTGTTGATGGGATCATAGTTCCAACTACATCCAATAAAACACAAAAAGGCAAAGAAAATTAAGTATTCACATTAGGAAGCAAGTATTGAAATACCAAAAAGAAAAGGAAGTGTATGTTATTGATTACCAAGAAACATAACAGCAATGAGAAGGACACAAGTCAAAAGCTTTGCCATTCTCCTTTTAGAAATCCACTCTATATGTAGTCTTAGATAGTGTGTTTCGTTTTTCTCTGCTTACTTTGGATAATCAAGGTAACCAAGAGGTGTGCTTTTATAGCTTGTAGAGTAGCTGCAGAGTGAATCAAATCAAACTTTAATTATGATCAGATTATGGATTTTGAAATATATAATCAGATTTGAAAGAATAATTTGTTATCATAGCTGGATATCATTTTATTTTTAACTGTATATTTTCTTATTTAGATATTGCCAATTTAAATGGTTCCAACCAGTTACTTTTTGTTTCTCCTATCTAACCAGTTACTATAATGTAAACTTACTAAGTTACAATAATATACACATACCCATAGTAATATTCTCGCCAGTTGTCCCTTTTTGTATAAGTTATTAAGTAAATGATTTTTTTTTCCATTGATAAACCTTTTAGACCATGTCTAAAGATCCTTTTTTGAGCAAACAAAAAATCTTATAAGAAAATATTAAATCATAGTCTAAAATTTTATAAGTTATTAATTAAAATACAATCTAATTTTTTATGAGCAAATTAAAAATTATACGAGCAAACGTTAGGCCCGAGTCGGACTAAAGGGCTTGTGATGTTTTGAGTTTTATTTCTAACTCTGTGATTGAAAGGAAGGTGAAGCCGCGTGTATATACTTAGTGTATAATAACTGTATAGTAAATGTATACTCGGTATATACATGCATTGCGTACTTAGTGTTTAATGTGTAATAAGTTGTGTAATACATTGTATAATCTGTATATACACAACGTATATACATAAATTGTGTACATACATAGAAAAAAAGTAAAAGTGAGGGAATGATAGAGAAAGTAGGTTACGTTTTGAGAGAAAACGGCAAAGAAAATGAGTAAAGAAAGAGAGAGGGCCGTTGCAGCGAAGCTTTTCGTAAACATTGCACGGGCGCCCTATTTGGTCGCACCCCTTTAACCTATACTCATATTTTTAAAATTATTTAATATATATCCTAATTTTAACAATTTCAAACGCCTCTTCTCCTGCTTCCTCTGCTAGTCTATCAAATTAACTTTTCAACCACTACTTTAATATATTCACTAATAAAATGTGAAGTCAAATTAACAACTTAACCTATATTTGATCAAATACTGTCATAAAATAACAAAACAGAATATTGTTATTATTCTCTATTTGAATTCAGAAACCCTGTTAACAGAAGGTAAAATATGGGCTTCTGCAAATTTTACAATCCTTTATTTTGCAAGCTCGAGATACAAATCCAAATGCATCGAGAGCGCAACAGATACTCTCTAGTTCATCTTGTTATGTGTTTATCTCATACTGAATATACAGAAGTTCCAAATCCAGTATGGAGAATATGAAGAATTTTCCATGAGGTAAAGCCCGATGTGATGCCAAACCAGCTCTTAGTTACACTGAAAAGTTAATTTGTCCTGAAATTTACACTATAAATTGAAGAACTTCAGACTAATTTGTCTGAAATTTGCACTATGAAGTTAGGGGGAACTGAAGTTTACCCTTGCACTATGAACTGAAGTTCCTGAAGTTTGCACTACAAATTGAAGAACTTCAGACTAATTTGTCTGAAGTTTGCACTATGAAGTGAGGAAAAACTGAAATTTGCCCTTGCACTATGAACTGAAGTTCCCGAAGTTTGCACTATAAATTGAAGAACTTCAGACTAATTAGTCTGAAGTTTGCACTATAAAGGGAGGGGAAAATGAAGTTTACCCTTGCACTATGAACTGAAGTTCTTGAAGTTTGCACTATAAATTAAAGAACTTCAGACTAATTTGTCTCAAGTTTGCACTATGAAGTGAGAAAAAACTGAAGTTTGCCATTGTACTATGAAGTGAAGTTCCTGAAGTTTGCACTACAAATTGAAGAACTTCAGACTAATTTGCACTATGAAGGGAGGGGAAACTGAAGTTTGCCCTTGCACTATGAACTGAAGTTCCTGAAGTTTGCACTACAAATTGAAGAATTTCAGACTAATTTGTCTGAAGTTTGCACTATGAAGTGAGGGGAAACTTAAGTTTTCCCTTGCACTATGAACTGAAGTTCCTGAAGTTTGCACTACAAATTGAAGAACTTCAGACTAATTTGTCTGAAGTTTGTGAGCATCTAATTTTTGACTATATTTGAGATTTTTTAACACTTTTTAGTTATTAATAATTTTAAGTTTAATCTACATATTTTAACCTTTATTTCACTTATTTTAGCAGGTTTATTNTATGAAGAATTCCTCGTGAGGTAAAGTCCGATGTGATGCCAAACCAGCTCTTAGTTACACTGAAAAGTTAATTTGTCCTGAAGTTTGCACTACAAATTGAAAATTTTCAGACTAATTTGTCTAAAGTTTGTACTATGAAGTGAGGGGAACTCAAATTTGCCCTTGCACTATGAACTGAAGTTCCTGAAGTTTGCACTAGAAATTGAAGAGCTTCACACTAATTTGTCTAAAGTTTGCACTATGAAGTGAGGGAAAACTGAAGCTTTCTCTTGCACTATGAACTGAAGTTACTGAAGTTTGCACTACAAACTGAAGAACTTCAGACTAATTTGTCTGAAGTTTGCACTATGAAATGAGGGGAAACTGAAGTTTGCCCTTGCACTTTGAACTAAAGTTCCTAAAATTTACACTACAAATTGAAGAACTTTAGACTAATTTATCTGAAGTTTGCACTATGAAGTGAGGGGAAACTGAAGTTTTCCTTTGCACTATGAACTGAAGTTTGCGGGATTGCCTTTGCAAGTCATGCCAAACTTCAGGCAAAAATATCTGAAGTTTTGCTTTGATAAGGCTACACTTCAAGCAAAAAATTCTGAAGTTCAAACTTTAGACATAAATTTTTGCTATTTCAGGCCCGTATGCCTGAAATTACCCGAAAAGTGGGTACGATTGTAATTATTTTTGCAAAGTGAGTATAGGTTAAAATATGTCACAAAAACTGGGTATAGATGCAAATCCCCCCTCAAATAAACATTTAGGCCCAATTTCTTTTTCTATAGGCCCCAAAGATTGTAGTCATACATTAGGCTTGCTTTCTTTTCTTTAACCTTGTTTAATCCAACAATAATTAGGAAATTAATATTTATTTTTTATTATTATACAAAACTATTTTACTTTAAGATCTTTGGTAATACTATTATATTAATTAGTAATACCTTGATATAAATTTTACCAATTTTAAAATTTTAAATTCAATTTCGGATGTACTTCGGAACATTTTATGAGAGATAATACATTTCAGTTTAGTAGTCATATCTTGTTCCCCCCCCNAAAAAAAAGAGCCAATAAAAAATTGTCACTTCTCTCTTATCATCATCTCATAACTAATTCACATGCACTTTACTAGCAATTTCCTACAAATAACACCTACCCAAGACAAACACAGACATAAAAGGGGAAGGATACGGAGACGGAAAAAATAGAGGGGGGCAGTGGAGGAGTCTCTTTTTCACAAAAATAAATCATCATCAACGCCTCTCCCTCTCTTTAGATCTGCTCGATCTTCATTCTCTCAAGCTCCACACCCAATTGCTTAAGCTCCATCACCACACAATTAAAAAGAAGATAAAAACAGAAAACAAAAAGAGAAAAAGAATCGAAAGAGTTAGAAAACAGAGGAAAGAAGAGAATCATCTTCTTTCTCAAAAATTGAAAAGACACAAGAAAACAAAGAAAAATAAATCTGGGAAGGAATTCATCCAAAAATAGACCCAACCAGATTTTAGGGATATATATTCTTTGCGCAAACAAGTTTTACGGCGAGGTTTCGAGTCACCGGCAAGGTCCTCGACGAGGTTTTGGTTCCAGATTTTGTTCGAATTTCTTGGAGTATTGGTTTGAAGCTTTTGTCCGGTGTTTGTCTCTGTTGTGAAGCTTTGTTAAAGGGGCTTTTCTATATTCAATCAAAAATATAGTTTTGGCTTCACTAAAGGTCCGTTCTAAATTCTTCTCAATTTTTAAGTTGCTTTGTTCTATTGAGTGATGAGGTAATTTTATTTGCTTTGATTCTATTGTTCTTATGGGATTTTTGGGCTATATTAACAAGTGTGCGTTCATTAAATTTATTTTTTCTGACTACCTCACTTGGAACTTTAATCATCCTATTGATAATGGTTTGCTATTTGCACTAGAAGCTGCTTGCGTTCTGCAGCCTCTTGTTCTTTTGGTATATATCTGTGGTGTTTTTCTGATCGAAAGGACATCAACCTGATAAATTATCAGGTTGGTTAGTGTGAAGTTATGGGATTTTGGCTATATTAGCATGTGTTTGTTTAAATTTATTTTATGATGATTGCTGTGAGTTTAAAAATTTGAAGCTGGTTGATGGATACAGATGATTAGATAATACCGTATAAGTTCATTTTTCTAGCAATCATGTGAAAATTAGAGACTCCGCTTATTATCATAATGTCATAGATTGAATATTTGCTATTTTGACGAAT